ATGTGCGGTATTTTGACTGTTCGGATGTCAAATAATGAAATAACCTGTCAAAGGCTTACCACGAGTCAAAATCGTGTAAAGAGATAAATAGTGGTATTTATAAGAGACTAGCGGTTATTAAAAAACGATTTTACGCTTCAACCTGGTCATTTTTTATGTTGGGTTCATTGAGTGTTATCTTTTTTGCTTTTTGTGCATCTGGAACGATACCTTAAGTCTAAACCGTTTCGCTTTGATCACTGCCGATAATTAGCTTCCATGTTTTTTTGTCAGTCTCCATTGCTACAATTCTGGAGAATATTGTCCTTCCACTTTAACTCCCGGCAGGTGTCAGGCATTAAGGAGCAGGTTCGAGATATCGCCGCAGGACCCTATCACAGCGCCGCTATAACGACTGCCGGCTGCGTCTACATGTGGGGCTGCAACACAAATCACCAGTTGGGTCGCGAGGACTTCGACGATACTGGTGTACGACTGCTTGATTTTAACTATGGTCCTGTCGTCCAGGTGCGTCAACAAGTCACATCTCTCAGTTCCCCGTTAGTTTCGTAATTATGACCCCATTGTACATTGAGAACAGCTATAATGTTCTTCTGAGTACTTGACCCCTTATGTTCGAACACACGGGAGGTTTTGATGGTTAAAATTATCTTTATTATTGGGAGGCAACTTAGCTCTGACCCTGTACAAAGGTCATGCGTTATGCCTTTTTAATCTTATGCAACGCATCTTCCTCAAAGGCTGATTTTAGGCGCCGGTACTTATGTCAAACTCATTTCAGATGATGTGCCTTTGTGTACTCTTGATCAGCGAATCATATGCGGGTGGTATGGCATCAGTGAGCTGAAATGTTGTCAGGCCTGTGATCTCACTTTAAATGCCGATACCATAATTCGCCGAATGCGCTGTTGAGTCTCATACTTCTGCTAGAATGCAGCTGCAATATGAAGATTGGCTGTTTTTATAACGATAAATTGTCTCTATGCATGAATCATTCTGGATAACTGGGAGTCGACAGACGAGCCTTTCTGATAGAATTTCAGCTGGAAGACCCTATTTACATGCTCTGTACAAAGACCTGGTTTTGCGATCTTTCTATCTGTATGATTCTTATTGCGAGACTCCACTGAAGTCAAATCGAAAATATTTATAGTGGTATGACGCTCCATAAGCAAGTCCGACTGGAACAATTTCCTGTAGCAAGTCTTGTGTTTCCCTTTCATAGATAAGTCTAGGGTTGGAGCACACAGTGGCATTGACAGAGGCCTCGGAGATATATACCTGGGGCTCAAACAACCAGGGACAGTTGGGTCTGGGTTACTGCTCATCCAGACCAATGGTAACCCCTCAGCTGGTGGAGTGTCTTGCAGCCCTTCCTGTGCGTCAAGTTGTGGCTGGGGCCAACCACAACCTCCTCGTCACTCCTAGTGGCTCTGTCTACGCCTGGGGGTCGAACTCACGAGGCCAGTTGGGCCTTGGTGAGTTGGGGATAAAAATGCGTGACTCGCGTAAAGTCTCTCGCACAGAGGTCAGCTCTAATGGGACAACAAGTAGATCGACTGTCGTCAGCGAACCTACCCCACGGCTTCTTAAGAGCGTGAAACGCCGCGGTGTCACCTTTGCCGCCTGTGGCGAGGCGCACTCTGCCCTTCTCACCAAAGACGGCGCTGTCTTTACTTTCGGCGATGGGAGGTGATTTCTGCTTCGGTGTTCACTAAATCATGCATTCATGCAATTATGGAGTTACATATTCTTTAACCAAATGATCAATGATTTTTTCGATGGTTTGACTTGCAGCTTTTGTAAAACGGTCTACATGGTGCTAAAGAGAAATGATATATTCTCTTAGCACG